CCCCCAAAACCCCTCCAGAACCCCTCCCAAACCCCTCCTGTGCCCCCCAAACCCCTTCGGGATCCCCCCAAAACCCCCTGACCCTTTTTTTTCCCCTTTTTTTCCCCTTTTTTCCCCCCCTGCACCACAGCTACGAGAACAAATACGTGAAATTCTTCCGGAGCAAACCCGAACTGCCGCCGGGTTTAAACCCCGAGGCCGCCCCCTCCCCATCGAGCCGAGGGAACCCCCCCGGGGGGCGGCCCGAGGGCTGCGACCCCTCCCCAACTTTATCCAAGAGCGCCCGCAGGAACCTGAAACGCAAAGAGAAAAGGAAACAGCAGCAGGAAAAGGAAAAAGATCGGGAAAACGGCGGCGGGGACGGACTGAGCCAGGCGCTGGAAAAAATCGGGCTGGGAGGAGGAGGAGGAGGAGGAGGAGGAGGAGGAGGAGGGACAGCGGGGGAGAAGGGAGGGGAGAAAAACGTGGAAAATCCTGGGAATTCCGGCAAGAATCCCAGCAAGAATCCCGCCGATTCCAGCAAGAATCCCGGCGAGAACCCCGGGGTTAATTCCGGGAGTAATTCCAGGGATAATTGCGGGAATAACAGCGGGAGTCATTCGGGGAAGAATTCGGGGAGGAATTCCGGGAGTAACGTCGGGAATAGCTGCGGGGATAATTCCAGGAATAATTTAGGGAAGAATTCGGGAAGCAACTCCGGGAATAATTCGGGGAGCAATGCCGGCATTAATTCGGGAAGCAACTCCGGGAATATTTCGGGGTGTCACGTCGGGAATAGCTCCGGAGATAATTCCGGGAAGAATCTGGGGAATAACACCGGGCTGAATTCCGGTAGCAACGTCGGGAAAAGCTCCGGAGATAATTCCACAAAGAATTCGGGGAGCAACATCGGGAAGAATTCGGGGAGCAACTCCGGTGATGATTCGGGGAGCAACGCCGCGAAGAATTCGGGGAGCAACTCCGGGGATATTTCGGGAGACAACCCCGGGAATATCGCCGGGAATGTCGCGGGGGATGACGGCGGGAGCTCGGAGCGCGGGCGGCGCATGAAGAACCTGCGGAAAAAGCTGCGGCAGGTGGAGGAGCTGCGGCGGCGGCTGGAGGGCGGCGCGGGGCCCCGGCCCAGCCCCGAGCAGCTGCAGAAGCTGGCGCGGCGCGGGGCGCTGGAGGCCGAGCTGCGGGCGCTGGAGCTCGGCTCCTAACCCTGTTTTTTGGGAATTTTTGGGGTTTTTTTCCAGATTTTTTTCGGATTTTTTTCAGATTTTTTGGGGGTTTTTTTTGGGGTATTTCATTGCTGCATCCCAGCTCTGAGCAGCTGCAGAAGCTGGCGCGGCGCGGGGCGCTGGAGGCCGAGCTGCGGGCGCTGGAGCTCGGCTCCTAACCCTTTGTTTTGGGAATTTTTGGGTTTTTTTCCAGATTTTTTTCGGGTTTTTTGGGGGTTTTTTGGGGTATTGTGTTGCCGCATCCCAGCCCCTCGCAGCCGCGGAAGCTGGCGCGGCACACGGCGCTGGAGCTCGGCTCCTGACCGCGATTTTGGGGGGTTTGTTTGGGAATTTTCGGATTTTTTTCGGATTTTTTGGGGGTTTATTTTTGGGGTATTTTGGGGTTTTTTTGGGAATTGTTTTGGAGGTTCTTTTGGGTATTTCCTCGCCGCATCCCAGCCCCGAGCAGCTGCGTGCGCTGGAGTTCGGATCCTAACCGGAGCCCCGGGAAATTTTTGTGGATTTTCGGATTATTTTCAGATTTTTTTGTTGTTTGGTTTTTTTTAATTTTATTTTTTTGGGATTTTTGGGGTTTTTTTGAGGTTTTTTTGGGTATTTCGTTGCCGCATCCCAGCCCCGAGCAGCTGCGCACACTGGAGCTCGGATCCTGACCAGAGCAACCGGGGATTTTTTTTTTATTTATTTTTGGGGGTTTTTTTGGGTTTTTTTGGAGGGATTTTCGGGTTTTTCGTTAGTTTTTTAAAGGTTTCTTTGATTTTTTTTTTGTTGGTTTTTTGGGGGAGGTTTTCTTTTGTTTTATTTCGTTTGTTATTTTAATTTTAATTTTATTTTGAATATTTTCTTTTTATTTGGTTTTATTTAGTTTATTTTAATTTCAATTTTATTTGGAATATTATTTTACTTTTTAAAATTTTATTGTTTTATTTTATTCTATTTAATTTCATTTTCTTCTGTTTTACTTTATTTGCTTTATTTATTTTACTTCTTTTTTTTTTATTTTTCTGTAATTTCATTTTAAATTTTTTTTTTTCCAGTTTAATTTTTTATTTTATTGATTTTTTT